CTGACACATACTAGCTGTGTGACCTGGGTAAGTCACTGTCAGCACCCTGGGCAAATCTCTACTACTGTGAGTTGCAGAGCAAGTACTAATCAGCTTTGGTGGGGAGAGTGTCCTCATTTGGAAGGTCCCTATGCCAATGAAATCACAGTACCCATGTCAAATACCAGATCCAGGAGTGAGAGGCCATTTTGTAGTCCCCTAGTCCCCTTGTGCCTTGAAGACTTCCTCTGATCTCCAAACTCTGCCTCAGGTTGCTTCAAAGGGTTTCCTCTCTGCAAAGGATATAGTAGCATACAAATGTCTAGCAGGTAGTAAACAATAAATATTTGACTACTGATTGAAAGTCACTAAGTCAGACAAGAGCATTTATTAAGCACCTACTATGTGCCAGGCACTGTGCTAAGTACTGGGGATAGAAAGGCAAAAACATAGTCACTGCACTAAAGGAGCTCTGATACTGATGGAGAAGGAAGGAGGAAACAAGCATTTATTAAGCACTTACTATATGTCAAGCGCTGTGCTAAGTGCAAATATTACCTCATTTGATTTTCACAACCACCCAGGGTGGGAAATTAAAGCAAACAGAGGTTAAGTGACTTGACTAGGGTTACCCAGCTAGCAAGTGTCTGAGGCTAGATTTGAACTCATGACAGAGCAGGATGGAAGCACTATGTACATACAAGGAGGTAACTTCAGAGAGAAGACACTTGCAATGGGGTGGCACAGAGAAGGAGATGGGAAAGGCCTCCTGCGGAAGATGGGATTTCAGCTGAGTCTTGAAGGAAACCAGGAAAAGCCAAGAGGTGGAGATAATGAGGGCAGCTAGGTGGCGAAGTGACTAGAGGCCTGCAGTCAGGAAGACCTGAGTTCAAATCTGGTCTCAGACACTTACTAGCTGTGTGATCCTGGGCAAGTCACTTAACCCTGTTTACCTTCGTTTTTTCATCTGTAAAAAGAGCTGGAGAAGAAAATGGCAAACTGCTCCAGTATTGCTGCCAAGAAAACCCCAAATAGGGCAGAGTGAGTCCTGGGAGCCAAAACTGTAGCCAAGACAGGTGTGCAGTGGCAACAGCGGTGGCAGCGGTTTGACTAGCCACCATGGCTGGGGCCATGGCCAGAAGGACTTAGTACAGAAGGCTCCCTGGATTGAGCTGGATCGAGCCCCTTACTGGCTGAAGCAGTTCCCTTTTCACTGGGGCAAAAACACAGCTTAGGTTTAGAACACAGTGGTAGGAAGTCCTTCTCCAGTGAGCTCCACTTGGTCCACTGGAATGGGTAAAAAGACAAGAGCTTTGCAGAAGCAGTGGCAGCCCCGGATAGCCTGGCTGTGGTTGGCATCTTCAGGAGACTGGAAATGAACATGCCAGCATGCACAGACTGACAGATGCATTGTACACAGTCAGATTCAAACCCTAAACTGGTCCTGTAGGACCCTAAGCCAGAGTTTCTGCTGACTCTCCTTCCCAGGGAAACAAAGCCCAATTCAACAGCTTCAATTCCAACTCCTCCTCCCCATGAACCACCACTACTGAACCTTCCCAGGGTCCCTAACTACCCTACCCTGGAGTGAGAGTGTGACCTGGATAGTACTCAAGGAGCCCATCGCAATTTCAGAGAAACAGATGGAACATTTCTGGAGCCTCCTTTTCACTGCAGAGGATGATAAGAAGGTCCTCATGGTGAATGATTTCTGGCCCCTCGGCTGCTGAAGGGCAAAGTAGTTCAGCCCTCTTTCCAGTCTGGAAGGGGGTCATGCTGTCAATGGTAACAGCAATGGTGTCCAAAGTGCTTCCAAATCAGTTCAAGTCAAACCAGGTGTGTGACCCCTTGGTCATGGACTGACTTCTCAGAGCCATTTGGGGGTTGGGGGCAGAGTAGAAAAGGGAATGGCCATTTCAGCTGTATTATTAGTTCCCTCAGTCCATTTCTAATTTACTTGGGGAGTCTTTCTTACCACCTGATTTAAATGCTAAGAAAGCCCCTACTGCCACAACTCTGCTATCCCATGATCCTTTGACAGCTTTGAAACTGGCCAGGCTTTTTAAACAATCCAAACCTGGGGGGAAGATTTTAAAATCTACCTGGGCTAGAGCCACCAGGAGAGGCAAGAAATAGGACAAGGAGAAGGTGCCTTCCTAGTTCTTGGTTAATGGAGAAGGGAGGTAGATATTAGTAACAGTCAGGAATGACTCTTGGGGTAGATGATCTGCCTGCCTCTTCCTAGGGGGCACTTTCCCTCTGTCCCATCTACAATGCAAACTCCTTCCCTTGGAAAAAGCATTTTGCTCTTCCCCTCCAGCAGCTCTGGCTACTTCTTGATCCCTGTGCTGTGATGAGGCCAAGGGCAGCTGTTGGCAAGACAAAAGCCGTCATTACAGCAGGTGGGAGATCCCTTCCCAGTGTTACTGACCTTGACTACTGAAACGAGGCGCTGGGACAGAACTGCAGAAGGCTGTGGCCTTGGGGGGCTTTGTTTGTTTATTATTTTGCCATTCCCTGCCAACCATTAAAAACATCAATGTGATAAAAAGAAAAAGAAAACCCAAAATGGGGTCACAAAGAGTCAGACACGACCGAAAACGACTGAACAGCAAGAAGGGAGAACAGTCCAGGCAGGGGACGGTGAGTACAAAGGCAGAATCCAAGTGTCACATGGTAAGAATGGCAAACAGGCCAGCGTGGATTGTAGATGTGAATGGAGAGGCAGGAGGGGACCAGGTTGGAAAGGGCTTTATTTTTTTGTTTTTTGGGTTTCTTTGGAGGCAATTGAGGTTTAGTGACTTGCCCAGGGTCACACAGCTAGTAGTGTCTGAGGTTAGATTTGAACTCAGGTCTTCTTGGCTCCAAGGAAGGTGTTCTATCCACTGCATCACCTAGCTGCTCCTGTAAAGGGCTTTAAATGCCAAACAGAGCATTTTATCTTTGCCCCTGGAAGTAATAAGGAGCCACTGGAGTTTATGAGTAGGGGGCAAGACATGGTCAGACCTATGCTGTAGGATATTACCTTGGCAGCTGAGTGGAGGGTGGGTTGGAATGGGGAGAGACTAGAGGCAGGGAGACCAACCAGAAGGCATTGGCAGTTTCCATCTTTTTTCATCTTTACTAATTTTAAGGGGCATGAGAAGAAATCACAGAGTTGTTTTATGTTGTATTTCTCTTATTAGTGATTTGGAGCAATGTTTCATAACACTGTCAATAATTTGCAATTTTTCTTTTGAAAATGGTTTGTGTCCTTTGACCATTATCTATTGGGAAATGGTCTTGATCATATATTTTTGCTCATTCATTTTACAGATGGGGAAACTGAGGTCCAGAGAAGATGAATGACTTCCCCAAAGTCACACAGCTAATAAATAACAGAGTCATCCAATATGATTGCTTTTTGGTAATTACCTATCTGTCCTTTCTGATTGATGAAGGGCCAGAGGGTAGGATATTTGCAAGATATGATATAAAAGGCATTAAATTTGGGGTCAGAGGACCTGGGTTCAAATCCTAGCTTTGCCACTTACTATCTACATGACTTTGGATAAGTCATCTAACATCTTTGGACATCAGTTTTCTCATCTGTAACATGGAGGGGTTGGGTTAGATGACCTCTAAGACCCCTTCCAGCTCTCGTTCTATGGTCCTACGAGAATTCCCACCCTGGGGGAGGGAGGTTGCCTAAAGGAGGGTGCTCAAGGTCTAGGTTTGGCCCCAACATCTCTGCCCAGTGGAAGGCTCATCTATGTAGCCTCCTCCTGGGAGGAGTACACCAGGAGTACCAGTCACAACTGCCCTCGGGATAAAGAGGGACAGGAAAAGATCCTGGAGGACGCCACTAGGGCAGGAGGGTGAAAAGAGGGGTATGGAGAATGGCTCCAGAACTCCTAAGGGGCCCAGATTCAAACTGGTAATTTCCAAGTAGTTTCCCTCCCTGAAACACGTCCCTGTTAATGTCTCCACCAGTGTGAAGGGTGGCTCTCAGGAGGAGGAGGCAGTGCCTGAAACAAGGGAAGGCAATAACCTTGAAAGGTCATCTAGAGAAGCCACATTTGTCCTCCCTCCCTCCAAGGCCAGTCCCGGTGAGAAACATGATAATAACCCGACATCCGCAAAGAACAGCTTCCTTGGATACTTCTCGTCCTCCTAGAGACAAGGGGTGTAATGGGGAGCACTACTGTAGTAAGAAGGCCTGGGTTGGAGCGGTTCTGGTTCTGCCACTAACAATGCATAACAATGGTCACACACTTGGTAAGTATGTGGGTCAGGATTTGAACCCAGGTCTTCCTGACTTCAAGTCTAGTAGCCTACCTACTATACCAGAATGCCTCTCTCTAAAACGATGATCCACATGGATGTGGAGTTCCCATGCTGGGAATTCTTGGAGCTGAAGCAATCACAGTTTCTTAGCATTGCCTGAGTATTATTTTCACCCCATAGAAGGATAATATTGTTGAAAGAATTCACACTCACAGTTTTGCTTTTGTATCTTCTGTCTTTTTGGTGGAAAGGTTAGGGGGATGTGGTCTGGCTTTCTCTATCACACTAGGAGCACCTCGGTGATAGTTATTTTCTCACTCCCATCAAACTGGGGGCTCTTTGAAAACACAGCCTGTATCTGTCCCAAAAGAAGACTGGACGCCTGTCTTCTCCTTTCACTGGATCCTCCCCATCTCTTACCCTTTACACACGTGCCCTCCTGTATACGCACACACACACACACACACACACACACACACACACACACACACACACAAGATTTATTACCCCGCATAGGATTCTATGTCCAGTGGGTGTTCAGTGTCAGGGAGTAAATGATAGCAAAGTTCTTCATTCTAGTAGGCAGGACTGAAGGCTACACAGGGAGAGTAAAGGTTGTAGCACTCGGGGACCAGGAGTGTCATTTATTCATCTGTCTGAGAGGGCATAAGTATAGTCCTGCCTAGAGACAGGGGGTGGACAAATGATCTCCCATAGACCACAAAGACATCAATACTCAGTTCTAGACAGGCAGCTTCTCAATCTGGAAATTTACTTTAAAAGTCTTTCTTTTTGTTGTCCATAAATACAAGGCAGGGATGTGAACCCATTCCAGTCTGATCTCCTTGGGTCTTTGTCCTGGGCCACTCCTTTCTGTTAGGGTATCCATGGGGCTGAGACTTTGCCAGAATTCATATTAAGCCCATTGGTAACTCTAGATTCAATCACTCAGCTCCATCCCTTCAGCCCACCTCCAAGGGAGGACTGGAATTTGTCAAGAAAAGCATGTGGGGGCGATGTCCAATCTTCCCCACGTACAACAGTTCAAGTTCAAGGAGTCCACCTCTGCTGATCAGACCATGGAGCTGGTGCCCTGGAACCTCTGGAACAGCTGTGGGAGCCAAGAATCATTATTCCAGACAATGGCAGAAGAGTCGATTCAATATCCAGGTTATTATCAGGGCTGGCCTCAAGAGTCAGCTGGAATGCTAGGCACAGATGGTGAGGGGCAGAGAGGGACAGAAACCTTGGCTGGGTCAAGGCTGCAGCATTCTCCCTATGCTTCCTGAGCGCTCACTCTCTTCCAGGTGCTACAGAGAAGAGATTGAGTCTAGCTGCTAGATAAACTATATTCTTCTCTTATGAGAAGGAGTATCTGGGATTGTTTTTAGGTGAATTCATATGGGATTGTATGCTATAGAATTTCTTAATTCTGATGAAATATGAGTCGGCTCCCAAACCATAACTCTTATCATTTGTACCCACTCTGTTCTTTCTATCCCTCACTTAAGAGTTTAATTGAATCATGAATGAATGAATGGAGTGAATAAATAAATGTCCTCTTTCCTCACCTTGTGGTTAGTACCAATTCCTCTTGTCAGTCCATACTGTGACTGCCAACCATATTTTCTTTTCTCTCCACTTTGAATAGGAACTTTACGCCTTATATTCTTTAACGTGTGGACATGGAAAAGCCAACTCATAAATCAGGTCAAAGCTACCAGTGTTAACCCATCTCACATCTACCACTTCCAAAGCAGCATCCAATGTGGGTCTAGAAGCCCTTTCTTCTTCTGTCATTGAAACAACACCTGAAACTATACCTCTATCAAGAAACCCTCAGTTTAACTGAAAGAGAGCTGATGGTTTCCCCTCTTCTTACTCAGCCTAAAAATTGAGTTCCCATAGTTATTCTCCCCAGTCTCCTTAACCTTCTTAACCCTGGCCTATAAAAAAGCCCAATTATATGCCAACAAAAATAAAAGTAAATTAAATGGACGAATATTTGCAAAAATACGAAATACCTAGATTAACGGGCCTTTTAGCAGAACATTTAAACAAACCAATCTCAGAAACAGAAATTGAACAACATATAAATCAGTTCCCAAAGGAAAAACAAAACAGGCCTTGACAGAATTATAAGGACTCCATCAAATGCTCAAAGAACAATGAACTGCATTTTTAAATAAATCACTTTCAAAAATATGCATAGAAGCACCTTACCAAACTCCTTCTATGAGATAATTATGACTCTGATCCGCAAATCAGAAAAAGGCAAATCAGAGAGAGAAAACAATTTCTCTACATTCCTAATGAATATTTGTGCAAAAATATTAGCAAAGAAATTAGAATAATTATTTAAAATATTATTCACTACAACCAGGTTAGATTTATGGCAGGAATTAAAGAATGGCTCAATATTAGGAAAACTATTAACATGCTAGACCAAATTAACAGCAAAACCAGTTAAAAATCATGATTATATCAACAAACATTAAAAAATCTTTTACAAAATAGTTATTTGTGTTAAAAACACAAAAAGCAGAAGAATAAAGGGACTGACTTTTCCTTAATGAGATAAGCAGTATCTAATATAAAAGTTAGCACTATTTGTATCAGAAAAACACTAGAAGTCTTTCTAATAAGGGCAGAGGCAAAGCAGAAATATTGTCACTGCTATTATTTTATATAGTTCTATAAATGCTACCTATAGCAATAAGAAAAAGAAAAGAAATCGAGGGAAGAGACAGGCAAAGAGGAGACAAAATCATTTCTATCTGAAAATCATACTATGATAAGAGAATACAGTTAATGAAAAAAATCAACTTATAACATCAGCAAAGTAGCAAAATACAAAATAAACTCACTAATCCTTGGTATTTCTATATATTACTAACAAATACCAGCTGAAGAAGATGAGAAAAAGAAATACATTTAAGATAGCTACAAAATGTACAGAATACCTGGGAATCAAAAACTACAAAACACTATATAAATAACAGAAGACAAATAATTGAAGAGATTTTAATTGTTTCTATAATAAAAATAATGTTACTGCCTAAATTAAATTATGGGTTAATGCCATGTCAATTAAATAATCAAGGAGTTATTTATAGAGCTAGAATAATATCAAACTTAATCTGAAATGACAAAAGGTCATGAATCTAAAGGGAAATCATGAAAAAAAGAAAGATCTCAAACTATTTTGTAAAGCAGTAATAATCAAATTTAATTTGGTTCTGGCTAAAAATAGAAATGTGATCAATGAAACAAATTTGGTGATCAAGACTCAGAAGCAGATGAATATAGCGCAGTGTTTGATAAACCCAAGGACGCTGACTATTGAGGTAAGGTCTTCCTAGCTGACACGAACTGCTGGGAAAACCATAAAGAAATCTGGCAGAAATTAAGTTTAGAACAACATCTTATACCACAATAAGTTCCAAATAGATTTGTGACCTATATATATTTACATAGTAGGTGTTTGGTACTTGGTGCTGAGCATACAAAAATTAAAAAATAATAGAATCCCTGCCGTCAAAGACCTTATACTCTACTGGGGAAAATATAACATATACACAAACAAATATAATAGTAGAGTATAATAAGACAATAGGGCAAAGAGATTCATAATCCTTTAAGGCACTGTTCAACATCCAAACTGGATGCAATTTTATTGGTGGAAATGACCTATTAAAAGATGTGTTACCATCAAATGTGCGTCTGCACAAGAACATGGGACCTCTCCATCTGACTTGCTGGTGAAGCCTTCTATATGCGTTGTCTTCCTGATTAAAATGGAAGCGCTCCTTGAGAATAGGGGTTACCTTTCTTTTCTTTAAGTAGCCATAGTGCTTAGCACAGTGTTTTTTATGTAGTAAGATTTCTAAATAAGATTTTCATTCATTCATATGATGAGGGGAATAATGGAAACTCTAGTAAGTTAGAACCAGATTATGGAAGGCCTTGAATTCCAGGCTAAACTATTTGTTTTTTATTCTATAAAGAATAAAGAGCTATGAGAGATTTTTGAGAAGGGGATTAACCTGCTCATACTTATGGCTTCAAAAAATAGTTTTGGCAATTTCAGATTAGAAAGGGGAGATGCCAGAAGCACAGTAGTTCAGGCAAGAGGTAATGAGGGCCTGAACTAGGTAGTGGCTGAAGGAGTAGAGAGAAGAGAGAGGTTCAAGAGATAGCACATTGAGGTCATGACACATTGCTTGGATCATGTGTTGCCAGAAGAATCCTGGTCTGGATGGTCTACTCCATCTACTTATCTCAGGTCCTGTCATCTGGTCATCCTTGCACCATCTTTCAAGCTGCTCTGGATGTTGGCCCAAAGCTCCAACAAGGGTTGGAGAATCCTCTCTTAGGATTGTAGGGTGATAGGTTTGTCACTGAAAAGCACCCAGAGACCATCTGACCCAGTACCCACATTTTACAGATAAGGAAATTGAAGTTCATAGGGTCAAGTAACTTACCCAAGGTCATAAAGGTAGCAAGTATCAGAGGTAAGATTTGAATGTGGGATCAATGACTAGAGCCAGGTATCTTTTTTACCATACTCTCTCTCTCTCTCTCTCTCTCTCTCTCTCTCTCTCTCTCTCTCTCTTTCTCTCTCTGTGCCTTCTTCTTCTCTTTTCTCTAGAGAGTCAATATGTCATTATGAGGATTGGAGAAGAACAGTGTTGACACCAGAAAGCCCTTGGTGACATAGAAATAACGTTTGCTCTGATTTCAGAGGACCTGGATTTCAATCTTAGCTCTCTAATTTACTACCTGAAGTTTACTCCATCAGCCCCTCTAAGCCTTAGTATCCTCATCTGTAAAAGAAGGGGATTAGACTAGATGATGTCAAAGGTCCTTTCCAGCCCTACACTCTGTTTATTCATGTTTTTTGTTCTGCTGCTTACTATCTGTGTGACCTTTGGCTCGTCCATTATCTTCTCTGGACCTATTTCTCTGAGAATAGTCATACCTGCTCTTGTATCTCAATGTATGGTTAACAATATGTAAAGTAATGTGTAACATGTAAGCTTTAACATCTTTCCCCCTTTCTTTTCTTTAATGACTTCTAACTCTGGCTTGCCTTGCTTAATGAAGATCCTAATTCCATCTCTTTCAGAGGCCACCCCTGACTGATTGGAAGAAAGAGAATGACATTCTTAACGCTACCCTGTAAAAAAGTGAAATTCCCAATTTGCACCATCCACTATCACACAAAAAGAGTTAGGAAGTGCCTTGTTTACTGTTTATGATTCCATTGCCTCCTACATCAGTGAAGTGGCAGGCCCCAGAGGGAAGGGTCACTTTAGTGACCAGTCCAACACTGTATGCAAATTAGAGTTAATTGGTTTCTGGAAAATGTTAAAAGAAGTAATTCCAGGCTCTGGGAGCAGAAGCAGAGGTGGAAGGAGGAGGGATAGGAAGGGGACTTGCTTCTTTGATAATCCACTTCCTTTAGAAAGAATAGCTCTATAGCCTTTCTTGTCCCCTGGCATAGCTGTGAGACTTACCGAACTGAGAAACGGGATGCTGGAGCCTAGGAATCCAAAAGCAACCGGGAAAAAACCTCTAAGAAAGAAGAGAGAAGGGTTAGCGACAACATAGAAGGAGATGGGCTAAGAGTGGAGAGAGCTGTGATATAATGGAAAGAACATCGGATTTGGAGTCTAGAGGAATTGGGGCCAAACTGAAGCTTTGCTCCTTCGCACCTATAAAATGATCCGGTATCTCTGGCACCTTGCCCTCAGCTGTGAAAACGAGTAGGTGCTGGCAATAATGATTCCGTGGAACAAATGATGGAACATTCTCAGTCCTCCTGGCAGAAGAGAGGGGACTACTAAGACTAGATGTTGAATAGATTATCAGGCTTGGTCGTTGTATAGGGTATTTTTTGCTTATCTGTATTTGTTAAAAGGGAGAGTGTAAATCTGGTGGTGGTGTTGGTGGCAGTGGTGATGATAGTGGTGGTAGTGAAGGTGGTGGTGGTGTTAGTGATGGCAGTGGTGGTGGTGATGTTTGTGGTGATGGTGGTGGTGATAGAGGTGGTGACAGAGGTGGTGGCGGCAGTGGTAATGGTGGCAATAGTAGTGCTGGTAGCGATGGTGATGGTGGTAAGGGCTATCTGTACGTACTCCCCTTAAGAAAAGCCACTGACACAGAAACGGAACTTTTTCTACCCAGAGGATGTGTGTAGCCTCCAGACATTGGGCTGGCTTAGGCGTGCAATAGTATTTACAGCTGTACTGATTCTTGGAGAGTATGAAACCACTTTGTCAGAGATTTAAGGTCACAGGACCGTAATTTAGGACTGGAAAGGACCTTCAAAGCCTTCTAGCCCTCATTTTGCAGATGAGGAGAGGTGGCTCGGAGGGGTTAGATGCTTTGCCCAGGACTGCTCAGGTAATAAGCAGCAGAGGGGGATAGAGTTTGGGTCCTCTGATTGCAAACACAGGCCTCTCTCCTTCATACCACTCTGCCTCCCACATAACCCCAACCTCAGACTGCAGCAGACACACTGGTTCCCATGGAAACTAACCCAGGGAGAAAGAGGAAGGAGAAAGAGTCCATTGCTCTAAGCTCCACTCCCTGGCATCTCTTGGGCTTGGCATATGAGGTCCAACGCTTTCTTTTTCACGTCAGCGCCAGGAATCTAGGACTCTCACAAGGGTCAATCTGGGAATTTACAGCCCCATCTCAGCTGGGGGCATCTAGCTTCTGGAGGTGGTGACTTTGCCCACCCCTACCTCCCCTACCTCCTCACCCAAACCTTCTTTCTGTTCCAGCTAGGCCACTTTTCTCCCTGTCCTACAATCCTTAGAAATCACCCCATTCAATCCCCTAATTTGACAGCTGAGAAAACTGCTGCTTGTGGCCTGCGACTGTTGAATGGGTCACTTAAACTCTCCGGGCCTCAGTTTCCTTATCTGTAAGATGAAGGGGCGGGGGTTAAAGGACTTCTAAGATACGTTGTAGCTCAAAAACTATGACTGTATGGGGGACAGGGGTCCAATTCACTATTTTGATCTATTTTACCATTCTATTTACATCTTCACTATATTACACCTATGCTATATAATATAGTTTATTACATAGATATATTCATCTATTTACAATTCACTAAATATGATCTAATTTATGTAGACTCCACATCCTTCCCTTTTCAGAAAAAAAAAATCAGTAGATCTCCCCTCCTTGTATGCTGCAGCACCTTTTCTCCAAGATTCTTCCAAGATCACTGGCTAAAGCTTAGCAACCACATGGTCCATTTCTTTGAGCATCTGTGGATATGGTTTGTCTAGGCCCGATGACTAGTGCTCACTGAGGGCAGCTAGATGCCGGCTAGCCATCAGCTCACTTATGCTGGGTTTGCATTCCTTACTGCCTATTTTTGTGCTATCCTTCCTAGGGCAAAGAAGATTCTCATTTTCAGAGGAAACAGGAAAAAAGAATTAAGTAGTTTAGCTTTCTTATCATTGGCCGTAATTGTCACCCTATCCATTTTAAGAAGTGGTTCTATCTCTTTTTTTGCTCCTCTCTTTACCAATTTATATCTCCCCTTTTACCAATTTATCAATTATAATTTATCAGTTACCAAGTTTGGTTTGAGGAAGGTCTAATTTCTCAAACCCAAATTCTAGTCCTGACTCCCATTCTGCCAACTCTCATTGATATCCATGAGGTTATTAAATGTACTTCCATGTACTAGGCTCCCTCTGAGCAGCTAGGTGGTGCCACAGTGCTAGTCCTTGGTGAAGACTTACCTTCCTGAGTTCAAATCCGGCCACAGACACTTACTAGCTGTGTGACCCCAGCAAGTCACTTAACCCTGTTTGCCTCAGTTTCCTCATATGTAAAATGAGCTGGAAAAAGAAATAGCAAACCACTCCAGTATCTTTGCCAAGAAAATCCCAAACAGGGTCATGAACAGTCTGACACAACTGAACAACTACAGTCTCAAATTCACTCCATTTATTATCTCATACTTTGTGCATTTGTACATAGACACCTAAGGCCATAAGTTTTAATGATATCCCTCTCTTCTTAAAAATTGTATCCTATGATATGGAACTCAAAGTTTTTAAAAACAAATGTTAAAATTTTTTGTTTAGGAGAAGTTAAGTGGCGCAGTGGATAGAGCACTGGCCCTGGAGTCAGGAGGACCTGAATTCAAATCCGGCCTCAGACACTTAACACTTACTAGCTATGGGACCTTGGGCAAGTCACTTAACCCCATTGCCTAGCCAAAAAAAAAAGAAAAGAAACTTTTTATTTATATATAATTGAGAAAAAATAAAATAAAAATTAAATGTAAAAAATATAACCTACAAATCCTCTTTTCTGTTTTCTTCCTATGTTATAGTTGCTATTTTCTATGCTAGCTAGCTTAGCAGATCTTTTCTGGGCAGCATTACCCCTTCCTCCCTTTTCTGCTTAAAGCTCTCTTGATCAGATTTGAAAAACTCTTAGTGAATGCTGTTTTTCATATTAGTCATGTTGTAAAGAAGTATTAGAACCAATGAGAAGAACCATGAGAAAGAAGAAATAAAACAACAAAAGAAAAAGGAGTTCAAATAGTATGCTTCAATTGTGAGGGACTGTCTGATGTTGGCAGCTGCCAGTTGGGTGCTGTGGCATGGGTAAGGTAAGATCTGGGTATTTTGGAAGTCGAGGCAGGGACTGTGGTAGGCAGAGTCGTGTGTACTGGGATGGGCTGGATTCGGAGAAGCCATGAGGCAATTGGGCAATGCTATGAGATAAGCTGGGTGCAAGGAAGTAGCCGAGCCTGAACTCCTGAGGCAAGGGGCGGTGCCACGTGGGAGTGGGATGGCAGAGGACTGAGTTCCCTCTGCTTAGTCCCCTCCCTATATGCAACGTCATCCCCAGATGCCTCTTGTGACCTTCCTGACCTTGTGCAGCACTGACCCAGTCCCCTCCTAAGTCTGACTTCCTAGGTCACGTACTCTTGTCTATGCGTCAATCCCAGATGCCTCCTTCCTGTATCCAATCCTAGCCTCCTACGTCACTCCCTCCCCCTTGGTGTGCTAAACTCAGACAGCCCCTTCCGGTATCTGACCCTACAATCATTGGCTAGTAGCGGGCTGGGGAGGAGGGGCTAAGTAGGTACTTAGGAACAAGCGTGGTCAGAACACACGTGCGCTCTCCCCTGGCTCCTGCTCTGTTGCTCTGGCCTTGCTGCTTGGGCTTGCTATGATGGTTTGCTGTGTTGGCCTCTGAATAAAACTCTGGTGTTGGTGCCTTCCCATGGCTTGTCTCTGTGTGGTGATCCGGCTGAGAACCGAGGACCTAGGCATGGGTAAGACTCTGGCAGAGCACTTCTTTTAAGGGAAGTGGGTACTGGCGCACGACTGGCAGAGGGCCGGCGTGCGGCCCGTATATTCAATCTGCATTCAGACGCTGTAGTTCTTTCTCTGGATGTGGATAGAATTTTCCGTCATGAGTCTTTTGGAGTTGTCTTAGATCCTTGCATTGCTGAGAAGAGCCAAATCTATGAAAGTTAGTCATCGTACAATGTGACTGTTACTGGGTACAGTGCTCTTCTAGTTCTGCTCGCTTCGCTCAGCATCAGTTCATGTAAGTCTTTCCAGGTTTTTCTGAACTCATCCTGCTCATCATTTCTTATAGCACAATAGTATTCCATTACATTCATACACACAACTTGTTCAGCCATTCCCCTCAATTTCCAATTCTTGGTCACCACAAAAAGAGCTGCCATAAATATTTTTGTATGTGCAGGTCCTTTTCCCATTTATATGATCTTTTTGGAATACAGCCCTAGAAGTGCTGGGTCAGAGGGTTAGTGAATGTTTTTTTATTGGTCCTTGTCAGGTGCATGCCATCTCTATCCAAGAACCCAGCATTCCACATCCCATTCTCTGACACTGTCTTCTTCGTCTAGTCTACTGTTCACTTTCCAAAACTGCCTTTTTCTTTTGGAGTTCTTTCCTCCTTTCAAATGGCAACTGGGCCTGGAGGAGAGGGGCTTAGCATAGCACCTGGCACATAGTAGGTAATAAACATGGATTAATTGATTGGGGAACATACTACATGCCCTAAAGTTTCTTTCTTTATTAATTTTTTTGGTCAAGGATTTCATCATCCTTAGCCATACTTTTTAGGATGCCTCTGGTGATCTCATGTGCCCCAAAATCAATCACTAGATTCACATAGAAAGCCTCAGCAGGCTGGTTGTCATATCCTGAATATGTCCTAGAAAAACAGCAGACTCCCTATGTATTCTCATGTTGTCTCCTCTTGTCTTTAATGCAGGACTAGGATCCCAGTAGATGCTTATATTGCTGTTTGGTTGAATGAAGCAACCACCTTGTAGTGGAAAGAGCCCCAAGGACTGGGGGTAAGAAGACATGAGATCTAGTTCCATCTCTGCCTCTAACCATCCGTGACTGTCAGCAACCCGCTTCATCTCTCTGAGCCTCAGCTCTTAGAGATGTAAAAAGGACGTAATAATTCTGCCTTGCTTATCTCATAAGGCTAATGCTGGTAAGAGCTGTTATTTAGAGAGAGCTTTGAAGTTAGCAAAGCAGTGTACATATCCTTTTAAAAGTCCCTTAAGGTTGTTATAAGTAATAAAGGTTTATCATCCCTGTGTTATAGTCAAAGAAACTGAGGCTGAGAAAGTGGTTAAGTGACTTGCCCACGATCATACAGCTCGTGTCAGAGTTTGAACCCAGAGCAATGATCACCTTTACGCTGATGATTCCCAGATCTATAAATCCAGCCCTAGTCTCTCTCCGGAGCTCTAGTCCCACATCAACTGCCTTTGGGACACCTCAAACAGAACATGCCCAAACCAGAACTCAATCTTCCCCTCTTCTGAACTTCCTTGTTACTGCTGAGGGCACCATCATCCTCCCGGTCACCCAGGCTCACTGTGTAAACATCATTCTTTCACCTACCCCATGCATCTGTCAGTCAACAAGCAGTTATTAGGTGCTTACTAAGTACCAAGCACTACGCTAAGTGCTGGGGATGCAAAGAAAGGCAAAAAACACAGTCCCTGCCTCACAGGAGCTCATATTCTAATGGGAGAGACAACATGCAAAACATTTTATGTATAAGATAAATACTATGTAATTGGAAGGTAATTTCAGAGGAAAGGTAATGAGAGGGACTGGGGAAGGATTCCCATAGAAGAGGAATTTGAACTTAGTCTTTTTTTTTTTTTTTTGCTAGGCAATTGAGGTTAAGTGACTTGCCCAGGGTCACACAGCTAGTACACGTTGTGTGTCTGAGATCAGATTTGAACCCAGGTCCTCCTGACTTCAAGGCCGGAGCTCTATCCACTGAGCCATCTAGCTGCCCCAATATTTTTTTTAACTTAGTCTTGAAGGAGATCAGGTAGGCCAGGAGGCAGAGGTGAGGACGTGAGGGACAGGAAGGAGAAATATCCTGAGTTGGGAGACATAGTGTCTTGTGCAAGGAACAGCGAGGAGGCTGGTGTTGCTGGATCATGGACGGGAATAAGAACATTGGAAAGGCAGGAAAGGGGCATCTAGTGAAGGATGTTAGAAGCCAGACAGAGGATTTTATATCTGATCCTGGAGGTGCTAGGGAGCCAGGGGAGGACCTGGCACTCAAGAAATGCTTGTTGACTGGCTGACTCAAAGTTCAGTACTCTATTCAAAGCACTAGGTTGCCTATTTTTGGTATGATCAAATGAGGTAATTATGTAAAAATGCTTTTTTAGCTGCAAAGTAATATGGAGATGCAAGCTATTATTGATTGATTAACTGATTGAAATGGGGATGATTCTTCCACAATTTTGTTGTTGTTGTTCAGTTGTGTCTAACTCTTCATGACCCCATTTGGGATTTTCTAAGTAAAGATACTAGAATGGTTTGCCATTTCCTTCTCCAGCTCATTTTACAGTTGAAGAAACCGAGGCAAACAGGGTTAAGTGACTTTTCCAGGGTGACACACGTAGTAAGTATCTGAAGCCAGATTTGAACTCTGGTCTTCCTGATGCTACCCCCAGCGCTCCAGCCGCCCTACTTTTTATAGTGCCGCACACCAGCTGGTAGTTGTTTTGAGATCCTCAGACATCTCAAGTCTAAGAGAGCCCATTTGTACAGCCTGCCAGACCCCAAACCAAGCTTCTTCCACTTCTCTTGTCATCCTCATCTCCTCTGCACTAGAAATTTAGACTCCATGACAGGGATCACCCTGGACTCAGATAAGTGTCAGTTTTTATCTTCCCAAAACTTCCCTTCAACCTCTTGGCCACCAGCTCCAAACCATGGCGGGTACATCTAGCTCTTTTCTAGGTCCCCTTTTTCTGAGGTCTAGCCGCACTAGAATGTAAGCTCCTTCAGGACAGGGGCTATCTTGTTTTGTACTTGGAATATAGTAAGCACTTAATAAATATTCTGTCATCTATCACTTTCTCTCTGTATGTCTGCCTGCCCTCTCTCTCTCTCTCTGTGACTCTGTCCCTCTGTTTCTCTGTCTCTATCTCTGTCTGTCTCTGCATCTCTGTCTTTTATTTTTGTCTGGTTCTTTCTCTGTATCTCTTTCTGTTTCTGTCTCTGTCTGTGTCTGTGTCTCTCTGTCTCTGTCTGTCTCTCTGTTTCTCTGTCTCTGTCTCTCCCTCTCCCTCTCTCTCACTCTCTCTTTCTCTCTCTCCCAATCCCTGCCAGAAAAGGTCCACTCACCTGAAGAGGTTAATAAAGCCATAAGTCTCCAGGGCCATCCCCAAAAGAGGCCAGCGCAAGAGGACAATTATCACACCACCCAGGAAGAAACTTGTTCCTTTCAGTTTATGCCACTGGAAGAAGAATCCAAAAGTCCTTCTCAAGCCAATGATGAAGGAGAGGCCACATAGGAATAGTATCTGTGGAGAAGAAGAGAGTTACGGAGTGGGGATGAGGACGGAGCATTAAGCTTGAGGACTAGGGCCTTGGCTCAGGGATTATACATGAGGGAGCACATTTTTATCTTCTTAGGGGCAGAGGGAGAAAATACTGGAACGATTGACTCAGGCATGTGGCAAAATCCTAAAAATCTTTAGGAGGAGGGAAAAACTCAGTTGGCCTGGACTGGGTGGGAGGGAAAGACCTTTTTGGAAGCAGGGAAATGCACAAGATGGCATTTGAAGGGTCAATTCTTTTTTTTTTTTTTTTTTTTTTGCTAGGCATGGGGTTAAGTGACTTGCCCAGGGTCACAGAGCTAGTAAGTGTCAAGTGTCTGAGACCGGATTTGAACTCAGGTCCTCCTGACTCCAGGGCCCATGCTCTATCCACTGTGCCACCTAGCTGCCCCTGAAGGGTCAATTCTTAATAACGAATATTTTGGTTTTCTGCGATGTTGTTCTTCCAAAACATTTCCCCAGATAAAATGTGATTGCTCATCACCCTCTCCCTAGGAAACAGGTGGAGATGTTTCTACTCATTTTACAGAAGAGACAGTTGAAACTCAGAAAAGTTAAATGAATTTGCCAAACATCATACAGCAAGTGAGTGGTTGGAAAGTCAGGTCAGACTTTTGGTCCAAGGGAAAGCACATTAGAAGAATGAATTAGATGGTTAGACTTGGAGTCAGAAAGCCCTGATGGGCGTCAGATTCTACCTTGGAAGATTATTAGTCAAATCACTTAACCTCTCTAAGCCTTGGTTTCCCCATCTGTAAAATACATAATAACGCATAATACCTGCCTCCCAAGATTATTGTATGATTCAAATTAGGTATGGTCACTTTGAAGTGTTGCCCTTTTCATATGGAAGAGTTTGGTACAGATAAGAGCAGGAAAAAGTACTGTCATGCAAAGAAAAAAATTTAAATCAATTGGTAAAGGATGGAAGATTATCTCAGTCATAAATGATCGTTTAGATGCCTAAAAGGAAGAGGAAAATAACATTAGTTTAATTAGTTTAAAAATGCCAAATGTGAATAAAGAAAGTATTTTCGAAAGAAATATAAGCAGTTTTGAACAGAAAATGAACTGTGGAGTAAATATGAAGATTTAAATCACCTTGTAAAAGAAGTAGGACAATGATTCATTTGCATTTAATTAGCATGATGGCTTAAAGGGGCAGAGAAAAGATTTTTACTTATTAAAAACTGGGAAAATCTGGATTTTCAAGAATACAAAATGAGATAGAGAACTGTTAGGAACTTTGAGCTACAGAGCATTATAAACCCTCAATCATTTGAAGATTGAAGCGAGTAACACTTTTAAAAATGAGAACTCATGTAACTATTTAGAGGTTTGGGGTATGATTAAATAAGCTTTACTGTTTTCGTAGTGAAAATCTGATGAGTTGTTGCATTTTAAGTGAAAAATGAGTTACCGAGTAAAGGAAACTGTGATTGATGCTATTGAAAGATAAAGGAGATAGGATATAGGAGGCTGTAGCTAATGAGGGAAAAATCTGAAGATTGAAGAAAAAGACAGAAATCAAAACCAGCTTTGTATGGACAAGAGCAGAGTCAGACAGCAGTCAGGTGACAGAAGGCTTAAAAGAGGAATTCAACCTTATTGGGAAAAAAGATCCAGTTCTAGATATCGTTCTTCAATATCCTCTACAACTTCAGAGGGGTGAAGCCTCTCCTAAGCCCCTGTTCTCCTTTACTGACCCCCCTCTCTGGATTGAGAGGAGGAGCAAAAAGAAGAAAGAGGCTTTGGAGCTACAAAAAAACCCAGAGGTGCTGGGACTATGCAGAATTCTGGTGGGTGAAGAGCTGGCTAGTTTGGTTTGCCTTGCCAAGAGAGTCAATATCATTTGTTTGCTGTCGTGCTCTTTTCTGATCAGATCCTGGTGAGTGAATAACTGGCTGGGCTAAACTGGCCTACATAGTCCAGAGACAGCTAGTGATGAGTTTTGCAGTTCTCTCACTTAAATGAAAAACTGCTCCAAAGGAAAAACTGTCCAAATTAAGTGGTAACACTTTCTCAACATCCTTTTAAAGGTGATTCTAATTTTAAAGAGCTTGTTAATGATACTTTGGTTCAAAGAAGACATGAGACCAGCAGACAAGCAGTTACCAAAGTAAGCTTAAAGTCCCGAATTGTGAGTTATCCCAAGTACATAGGCTTTCCTCCCTCGTGTGTTTCCCTGCCACGTTGCTATAAGTGTATGTGCCCATTCTTTTCCACAGATGTTGAGTACATTTGTGGAATAATGTGAACCAGGTTCATATGTGGTTTGTGATATATTTTGTTTTTCATGCATTATGTTTAATATATGATTACCTGCGGTACCATTATTATTTCTTTGCCTTATTGCTAAGTAAATCGTTATGTTTAAGATCAGTGTCATTATTATCTAAGTGTCTAAGAGTGGCTGGTTTGTGTGAAGGGAAATGCCTCAGGAGGGATTGGAGAGATAAAGTCATGAGTAGGGGGATAGTATTATTCCTCAACAGGACCCTGAGAGATTTTGAGTGTCAATGCAAAGTGAGAGAACTTAGAGAACCTAGACCTGCCAGTGTTAGAGCAGATTGGAGTAATGAAGCCAGCACAGAGTGAGAAAACATCCTTCCACATGACCACGTCAAAGGTATGAGGCTTTACTGAGTGGATGGAGGGATATCCCATTAATATCCATGGATAAAGCACTTTGAAAACTTTAAAGTCCTCTATACATTTTAGTTCTTATTATTAATAAATGCAATAACATTAATAAGTGTAAACATGTAGTGGTATTGTGAGAAAAGCATAGGAGACCTGGCTTCTAGTCTTAGTTCTCACACTTATTAGCTGTGTGACTTTGGACCAGTTACTTTTGTCTTTCTGGGTATCTGTTTCTTCATGTGTCAAGAGAGGATAGTAAACCTTTCACTACCTATCTCATATTTTTATTGTAAGGAGAGTGATATATAAATAATTACTATAGAAATCTGAGTTGCAGTATTTTTATTAGTGGGGACCATGATGATAACTGTCTCTAGATATATGAAAGGCATCTCTTGGAAGAGGGATTAGACCCTCAGGGTGAGTGAAAGTAGCAGAGAAGCCGATTTTGATGCTATTAAGCATCCTAATAATTAGCACTGTCCTCAGAGTAGAATGAGCTACCTCAAGAGGCATCGAGTTTCCCATCCTGCTCTATCATGAAGCAACTAGACGGTATAGTGGATAGAGCAGGGGACCTGGACTCAGGAAGACCTGTGTTCAAATCCAGACTTAGGTACTTCTTAGCTGTGTGTTCCTGGGTAGGTCATTTAATGTCCATCTACCTCTGTTTCCTGGTCTGTAAAACGGGGATAATAATAGCACCCACCTTCCAGGAGTGCTGTGAGGATAAAATGTGTAAAGTGCTAAGCAAACCTTAAAGCTCTATGTAAATACTCGCAATTATTATCCTCAGAGGTCTTCAAGTAGAAGTTGGATGACCTCTTGTGGGGGATATTATAGCGGAGATTTCCTGTTCAGGTACAAGTTGGACTAAATTATCTCTGATCTCCCATTCCATTCTGGGGTCCTATAATTCTAGTATTTGTCTATTCCACTCATTGTCCCTGTCCTTACCACCTTCTGGATCCCATCCTCAGTCTCTACAGCCTAACAAGTTATTTCCTTGGAAGGTTCAGTGGAGGTCAGATCCTGAAGAGACATGTTAAACCAAATCAAACATTCGTTAAGCACCTACTATGTGCAAAATCACCATCCTAATCTCTACGGATGCTGCTCTCTGTGCTAATAGCCCCTGCCCCCAGTGGATAATAATCCTTGAAGATTAATCTGCAACCTCTCTCTGGTTGATAAGTTTTAGGAAGCTGCCAGGGCCGTGGAGAAGGTAAGTGGCTTTGCACAGGATAACAGGCCCTGTAAATGTTAGAAGGGAAATGCCAAGCCCGGTTTTACTAACTCCACACCCAGCACCACATCGGTTCAGCCACTCTGCCTCACTGAATAAGGATAACTCTCTGTATGATGTTTTAAAGTTTGCAAAGATCTTTAACTCATCTGATCCTCATACCAACCTTGGGTATTAGAGATAAATCATAGGTAAGGAAATAATAATAATAAATACTAAAATTATAATAATAATTAGTATTTATATAGCACTTTAAGGTTTGCAAAGCACATTCCATATCTTAACACATTTGATTCTTTCAATAACCTGTGAGGTAGGTGCTACTATTATCCCCATTTTACAGATGAAGAAACTGAGGCACGAAGAGACTAAGTGACATACTCAGAGTCAAACAGCTAGTGAGTGTCTAAGGTGGGATATGAACCTAAATCTAGCACTTTGTCTACTATTTCACACTGCCTCAGTGAGGAGTAGGATGTTGGACCCTGGGCTGGGGGACTTGGGTCCTGATTTTGTCAAGGGTACCACTTTTATTCCAGTCACCCAAGTACATAACCTAGGAGCCATCCAGGCATATGCTGGAAACCAGCTCTAACCAAGCTAATTATTAAATTTTCAGTGAGCATTCACAGCTTGGAAATGGGCAAAAGCTACAAATTGGGACTTGATTTATTGTTTTACTGATTGTTTAAACTTAAGAAAGTGAAGGAAATGTTAATAATGCAAATTAAATTTTAGAGTGTGTCGTGAGTACAGGGTTGTTGTTGATGTTGTTTGGACAGCTGGTTGTTAAACATTTACCAGCATATTGCTGGAGCATCCTCAACTCTTTCCAGTCTCTCACTCCCTCCGTCCTGTCAGCTGCCATGTTAATTCTACCCTTGGATCTATGCCTTTCTCTCCACTCATACCACAACTTGAACCCAGACTATTATCAAGCACCTCCAAATTGTTCTCCCTGTACTCCCAATCTGTCTGCTCTCCAATCTATCTGGCACAGAGCTGCCAAATTCATTTTCCTAAAGCACAGGGGTGGGGCAGACAGGTGGCACAGTGGATAGAGCACAGGCTCTGGAGTCAGGAGGATCTGAGTTCAAATCCAGCCTCAGGCATTTACTAGCTATGTGACCCTGAGCAAGTCACTTAACCCCGATTGCCTCCAAAAAAAAAATAAAACACAGGGGTGATCATATCATTCCCTCTCTGATCCCCCCAAATCTAGCTATTCCTTATTGCTTCTAGGAATACACTCCCTGTCTGACACTGAAAACCCTTTACTATCTGATCCCAAACCTGTATTTCCAGATTGATTTCATTTAATTCCCCACCTCACACACACAGTATACATTTCAGCCAGACTGGTGTATTTGCTCAGTTTCCTGTACGTGACCGTCCATCTCCTGCCTATACTTTTTCTCAGTCTGTCCTTTATTCCTGGAATACTCTCCCTCCTCACTTCCACTCTTTGGAATCCTTTGCTCCCCTTTCAAGGCTCAGCTCAAATGTCACCTTCTTCAAGAGGTCTTTTCTGATTCCCCTAGTTGTTAGGGGAATCACCCTACAGCTTTGTTATTTAGTTTGTATCCACGATAAATTTGGGGCAGCTAGGTGGTACAGTGGATAGAGTGCTGGCCCTAGAGTCAGAAGGATTTATCTTCCTGAGTTCAAATCCATCCTTAGATACTCACTAGCTATGTGACCACTTCAAGTTACTTAAACCTGTTTGCCTCAGTTTCCTTATTTATAAAAAAAGCTAGAAGAGGAAATGGCAAGCCATTCCAGTATCTTTGCCAAGAAAACCCCAAATGGAGTCACAAAGAGTTGGACACAATGGAAAAACAACTAAACAACAAAATGATGTATTTACTTATCTACATGAATGTATTTATTTCCCCAGCAGAATGTAAGATCCTTGAGGGCAGGGATTTCCTTCATTTTGTATGTGTATCCTCTCTTTCTAACTCAGTGCCTGAAGCATAGAATGCACTGAATAAGCACTTGATGATTGACTGACTGGTTGATTGATGTCTCTTTGACAGTAGCAATAGACCAGCAGATTCATGTTCATGGTTCTTGGAAAGGAAACTGGGTAGGTGTGAAGAGATCTTCTTGGGAGGATTAGGGAGGGCAAGTGGAGAAGGGTGACTCACATTTCCGAAGGCTATAAGCACGGAGTCAAAGTACAAGAGGATCCCAAAGAAGATGAAGAAGATGCCAAAGCCCATGGTACCCATGCCAATTTCTGCAAACAAGAACACGACAGATGGGATGGAAGAAGATGGTCAGGACAAGCAAAACATCCAGTTCCAGGAGTCCAGGACACAAGGCAAAGTGTCCAGGGGGTTGAGTCACTGCTGCTACCTCTCTAGGCTTTTTTCTCCAACTGTACAAAAGGTTCAAGGCAAGACATTCCCTCTCCCTTCAAAAGGTTTGAAAATTGCATTCCCTTATCAATTACTTTCCAGAGAGGCATTGGGCTTTTACATCTACAAGTTGATTTATTTCAAAATTAATGTTGATCTGGGTGTAACCCAAGTCTCAAAACCCAGTTGTTTGGTGGAGATTGATGAAGCACCCTCACCTATGTGAGGGGGGGCAGAGTTGTCGAGAATGGGAGAAGAACCTCAAGATCTTTCTTTTCTTAGGGCATAAATATACATATATATATAGTTATTTCTATTTATATATACTTATATAAATACACTTATTTATGTTTATATATAGTTACTTGTATTTACATGTGGTTATACATAGTTATTTATATTTATATGTAGTTATTTATATTTTTATTTATTTGTTCATTCAGTTTTTTAAAAGTCATATTAGGAGTTATCCCATGTTGTACTTCATTCTATGCCATTTCTTTGATAGCTGCCAGAACCTTGCCTAACCCTTGTCCTAGCTTTGCAAGGCAGGTTCCCCCATCAAGCCCTGGACAAATACTCATTGCCCTGCTAGAGGATAGCCAGTCATACCCTGGTTCAGCTGGATCTCGGGAATGAAGAGTTAAGATAAGGCCAATCATGAAACCTCCACCGACTGCTGCTCCCCACAAAAGTCAGAGTTGGGGTGGAGATTCTAAGTGGGAGATGCCATAAGGGTCCTCAGGATAGGCTAGATGCCTATTACAGTTTGTTAGGGGAAAGAAGAGATGGGGATGTGGGAAGACGTCCGGCTCATTAGTCTACTTCAGACTTGTTGGTCACCCGTCTTGTGTCGTGAAGATGCTGAATGATTAAGTAGGATACTCTAACTATACGATACCCAGGGGCGTGTTGGTATTGACTCCCCACAAACTTCTAATGCCTTCTTGCTTTGGATTACATTCATCTATTCCAAGGATTCTTAATCTGAGGTCCATAACTCTTTTTTTTTTTTTAAATTTTGATAACTACATTTCAATAGGATTGGTTTCCTTTGTAATCCTCTGTATTTAAAAACATGATTCAGGGAAAGGGGTCCATTGGCTTCTCCAGACTGCCAAAGAGGGGCACGACACACAAAAGGTTAGGGATGCCTGTTCTACTCTGTATATATCTTGAACGTGTCTTGTCACTGACCTGATGACTACACACGTTAGGTTGTGAGCCTCTTGTGGGAGAGGACTGCTTACGTCTTTCTTTGTATCCCCAGTGCTTCACACCATGCCTGGCATACAATAAGCACTTAATAGGTGTCTATTGCCAGACTGACTGACTCTGTTCAACATTTTATCCACTATTCTATGCTACAGCTAAGTGGTTCAGTGGATAGAGTGCTGGACCTGGAGCCAAAAAGACCTGAGTTCAAATTTGACCTTAGACACTTAGTAGTTGTGTGACCCTGGGCAAGTCACTTAACCATTCTTGTCTTAATCTACTGGAGAAGGAAATGGCAGATCACTCTAGTATCTTTGCCAAGAAAACCCCATGGACAGTGTAGGTGTGCTGTGGTCCGTGGAGTCACAAAGAGTCAGACATGGCTGAACAACAATAAAAATGCTGCCTGTTTTTGTGTGATCGAATGGGATAATGTATTTGGATGTGATGCTTAATATACTCCACACTTTTCTCTGCCCCACACGACAGGCTCCCGTGTCCTAGCCCTCCCACTAAGCATTCAAGGATGAGCTTTGATCTAGACCCTTGGTGCCAGCCTAAAGATTACTGACAGCCATAAGTCTAAGCCAAGGGATGGATGGGGAGGGCCCCTTTCCCTCTGAAAGCACAAATGCCAGGCTCAGCCCAAGTCACCGAAGCCTCCCATATGCCAACACAGCAGCCTCTTGCTTCTCAGCTCCAGAGGTCAGAGTGATTACAATTTGCCTGCCTCCACCCCACGTCCCAGGTGGAGGTCGTGAGGAAGGGTGTCAGCTTCTGCTCATGAACCAAAGGCTTCTCTCCCACGGCCCCACCTACCCCTTTCCCCTGCCTCTAGCATCCCGTCCCTTACTCACTCTGCCATTCAGAGGTGGAGATCATGGCTATAACCTATGAGGGAAGTCCTTGGAGACAGTCGCCCTGGGAGCCAGTGAGTGGTAGGAAGCCTAGAGCTGCCTACACATGCTGTTGGAAGAGTGAACCTTGGCAAGGTTGTGAAATCCCTTCCTGAACAAATCATTAACTTCCAAGCCAGGAGAAGGCCACTTAAAGGCACAGTCTCCATCCTCCAGCCTCTTCCCAAAGAGTCCCTTCCACAGACAACCCCACCCCACCATATCCCCAAAGGCCTTGCCTTAGGGCACACAAATTAAGAATCTTTCAATCTTTCAGTAGGACAGAAACAGCTGGGTTTAGCACCTAGTTAGCAAAGAACAGTCAGTTCAAATAGGATGTAAGTGATTAGTTCCTTGGGCTCCCCAGCCCCAGCATCAGCCTCCCCAGCAGTGACCAATTCATCCCAGGTGCTAAAATGACTGGTTAACAGCTCTGTCAGGACCTGCCTGGATCAAGCAGGGTTCGGCAGACAAACAACACTCAAGTTTATGGTCCCCCATGGGCCCTTGTCCCCTCCTCAAAGAGACTGGATTCTTCTTTCTCTCCCCTCACTCATACTCACTCATAGTCACAATTCCTCAATTTCTCCCGACTCTCAACCACTTGAATCCTTCCTGGGTCTACAATGTCCCTGATATGGGTGCTTCCCCTCCTGATGCTGATCCCAACCTCTGCACATTTCAGTAAGATGGCACCCACAATTTGTTGTGGCCTTAAATGTTCATCAGCCTTCTGCGGATGAGTATCTCCATATTTACCTAGATTGATCTTAACTCACACACAACTGACCTGCAGTGACCCACTGACCCTGGGTAAGTCACTTAACCATGTTAACACATGAAGTTTTTCTAGCTAGGTAGGCCCCACCAGAGTTTGGGCTCCATTGGCATGGACTTCAAGAAGCCAGGGTCACCACCCTGAATAATCTAGCCCTCTTCATTAGGGGTGAAAGTAAACCTTGGGCTATAAACCTGGGATGCTTTGAGGGAGTTCAAAGCGATATATGTGGTACAATGGAAAGGGCTGGATTGAACCGAGAGGACCTGGGTTCAAATGCTGGCTCGGCCATCAAGCACCTATGTAATGATCACGGTCAAGACACAACCTCAGTTTCTTTATCTGTAAAATGAGCTGGAGAAGGAAATGGCAAACTGCTCCAGTATCTTTGCCAAGAAAATCACGAAGAATGAGACATGCCTAAACAACAAAAATTGTCCCTATTCTCTAATTCCATGGCAGCAGCAGAGTTTGGGACGTGGGATTCCCCCATTCATCCCTCCCTCTGGACCATAACCGTTTCTCCCTCTTCTGCTAGGAATAGCCGAATGTCTCAGAGCTGGTTGTGCATTCCTCATTTCTCCCCTCCCAGACCTCAGCTGGTCAGATTGGGCCTTGGATACAGTGACATCTAGTGCACAAGAAAACCTCATTCCACCATCCTTCTCCTTCCCTAGTCTCCATCTCTTGCCTAGGCTCTCATAAAAAGGTCAGCCCTCAGGCCTTCTGTTAGGGTCAGAATTCTGGTGGCAAATTCATCTGAGAAAGTCTCTCATCTGATCTTGTATCTGTGGATCACTCTTTTGGGGGACCTAGCAAGGCACCTCAGTTTGTACTTTATTAATCACAATAGCATCCCCACCTCCTGCAAAAGGGTTCAGACTTTTTAAGGAGAGTCAGGATACTCTCCCCTTTCAAAAGTGAGAGAGCAATCTTCTTCCCATCTGCCCCTCAAGGTAGAAACAAAGGAAAAGATCCAGACCTGGAAGAAGACCGACCTTGGGATCAAGTCTGACCCTTGAGGGGACACAGCTTTTGACTGTGGGGGAAAGACATGGAGAGGTCACAGGCTGACCAAGAGATTCAGGCCTGAGGGCAAAAAATGGATTTTTTAATTCTCTTCCTTGAGTAGCTAAAATACCCAGTACTTTCTTTTAGGTCCTTGTTTATGGGCACAAATAATAGGATTACCGTAATGACGGATATTTCCTTTTAAAAATTTTTTTATTAATTTATTTTGATTTATCAACAATCACTTCCACAAGCTTTTGAGTTTTAAATTTTTCTCCCTCTCTCTCCCCACCTCTAAGATGGTATGCAATCTGATATAGGCTATACATATACATTTCTATTAAACATATTTTCACATCAGTGATTTGTAAGGAAGAATTAGAACCAAAAGGTGGAACCATAGGAAAGAGGAAATAAAACAAAACAGAAGAAAAAATTAGCAAACAGTATGATTTGATCTGCATTCAAACTCCATAGTTCTTTCTCTGGATGTGGATAGCATTTTCCATAATGAGACCTTTGGAGATATCTTAGACACTTGCATTACTGCGAAGGGCTAAGTCTATCAACATTAGTCATCGCACAACATGGCTGTTACTGTGTACAATGTTCTCCTGGTTCTGCTCACTTCACTCAGCATCAGACCATACAAGTCTTTCCAGGTTTTTCTGAAGTCTGCCTGTTCATCATTTCTTATAGCACAATAGTATTCCATTACATTCATATACCACAACTTGTTCAGCCATTCCCCAATGGATGGGCATCCTCTCAATTTCCAATTCTTTGCCACCACAAAAAGGGCTGCTATAAATATTTTTGTACATGTAGGTCCTTTTCCCATATTTATGATCTCTTTGGGATACAGCCCTAGAAGTGCTATTGCTGGGTCAAAGGGTATGCACATTTTTATAGCCCTTTGGGCATAGTTACAAATTGCTCTCCAAAATGGTTGGATCATTTTTCACAACTCTACCAACAATGCATTAGTGTTCCAATTTTCCCACATCTTCTCCAATATTTATCATTTTCCTGTTTTGTCATGTTGGTCAATCTGATAGTGGTACATCAGAGCTGTTTTGATTTGCATTTCTCTAACCAATAGTTATTTAGAGCATTTTTTTCATATGACTATAGATGACTTTAATTTCTTCATCTGAGAACTGTCTGTTCCTATCCTTTGCCCATTTATCAATTGGGGAATGGCTTGTATTCTTATAAATTTGACTTAATTCTCCATATATTTTAGAAATGAGGCCCTTGTCAGAGACACTGGTTGTAAAAATTCTTTCCCAATTTTCTACTTTCCTTCTAATCTTGGTCACATGGGCTTTATTTGTGCAAAAACTTTTCAGTTTAATGTAATCAAAATTATCCATTTGCATTTCATAATGTTCTCTACCTTTATTTGGTCATGAATTCTTCTGTTCTCCATAGATCTGATAGGTAAACTATCCCTTGCTCTCCCAGTTTGCTTATACTATCAGCCTTTATATCTAAATCATGAACCCATTTTGACTTCATTTTGGTATATGGTATGAAATTTTGGTCTATGACTAGTTTCTGCCATACTCTTTTACAGTTTTCCCAGAGTTTTTGTCAAATAGTGAGTTCTTATCCCAGAAGCCGGGGTCTTTGGGTTTATCCTGATATTTCTTTAACACTTTATTGGTTATAAGGCACTTTAAACACATTATCTCCTATAATCCTCACAACAACCCTGCGAGGTGTGTAATGAGTGTGCTGTTATCTCTGGAGAAGAAAAATGGGACTTGGAGAATTGAAGAGATTTACCTAATGTTACAAAACTAAGTAAGTGGTGAACCTAAGACTGTAACCCAACTCACAGAATCACAGAATGCTAGAGCTAGAAGGGACATGATATTAGTTTTACTATTGGTAATAGTCATCACTGTTGTTATTGAGAAAATTACAGTGACTATAAACTACCACAAACTCAGTGGAGCATTTAAATATATTTGTATTTTATTAATCACCACAGCATCTACATGCATTTGAAAAATAATAAGATACATGCAACACTTGTTGTCATGGGTTTCCTCCTTTTGGGAATATTTTGGGGGAGTTCTCACTACTTTGGCTTGTTGCTACCACCCAGATAATCTAGAAACTTCGGTATCTGGTATACTCATTCCCCTTACAAGCACACAGGCTCACAAGGTTCAAACACAAATAGGCATATGTAGAAGTCAAGGAAAACAAGACTCAAAAGATCATAGGTGTACATGTAATTGGAAAAATACTATAAAATAAATAAAAATAAAAAATAAAATACTATAAAATAAATATAAAACAAAACTATAAAATAAAAAAATAAAATACTAAATAAAAGATCATCACCACTTTAGAGATGGAAGCTATCTAATCCAAATCTTGTTTAGTAAATGAGGAAACTGAGGCCCAGGGACTCAACATTACACACCAATGAGCAACCTTCCCATCAGGGATCTGAATGGTCTTGGCCCTTTCCAGTATTGCTAGGTATTCTCCACTGAGATGTGCCTGGAATTGTTCCTCCATGTTGGTGTTCCTCACCGTCGTTCCTTCGTCTACCTGTTTAGCATAGCTTCTCTTGAAGCTCATGCCTGCATTAACTTTCGTCCACGCTGCTTTTTGCGGTTGTCCATGGCAGTCCCTTGTTCAGTTATGCGATTGATGCTATGCCTGCTGCCCTTACCTCCTGCAATGCCCCTTAGCTCCCACAAGATGGCACAGTTGTTCCCAGTTGTGTTCCTTTCATCCTCTTGACTGTTAGGGCTGCAATTTTCCTTTGCTCCCAGCAGATGGCAGTTAGTCCTTTTCTCAGGGTACTGGTTCTCCACTTCCAAAACTCTTGGCTCATCAATACCACAGCTCAGAAATATAATTTCATATATCATATATACATATACACACACACACACACACACACACAAGTATATGTATGTATATGTGTATACACACACACACACACATATATAAGCATAAGTATATATTCTTCCATGCTATGGTTCTCATGGTTCTAGGCATCATAGACACACAAGATATTCCACTGACTAATGGAAGCTCTCCCCTGTGAGCAGGTCTTATCCAGCTCCATGTTGGTTCATCATGACATCATAGTTTATGTCCTTTTTCTCCTAGCTCCTGGGTTGTATGACTGCCAAAAACATCAGCAGAAAGATAATAAAATACTTTATAGTTGGACTGATTAAATCAGAGTGTTAGATCATAGATCTAATTTCTTTCT